CAATTCCAGAACCGGATCTCAGTCATGCATGGATGGATTTTGTTCAGATTTAGCACAATGTGTTGTACATATGCAGGTGCATTTCGGTCATGATCTGCTTTGAATGTATATGTCACTCAAATATGAACGGAACGGGGACGTGTCATTGACAATGACTTGTCTATTCTGTTTTTCATAATAATATCTTTTCTGGTTATATTTCCATTGAGTTCTTTCATCTCCAATTTGTTGTCGCCTGAGCTTGCTTAAAGTCTGACGTTTCACATTTAATGTACTTCCTGCATGGCACTCTCTGAATGTCTTAAATTTTCGTGATTTAATCTTCCCATTTTGTTTCACTAAATTACATGGAAGTCAAGCCATTAAAAACATTCTAGCATGCTCCTCTCCCATTGTTATGTTTCTATGTTTTTTTAAGTGCATAACATATTTTTGTTTGTCTTGCTCATTGCTTCTTAGCATCCTGTACGTATGCTCTTACTGACTTTGCTCTTGGCATGTCTAGCTAGCTGCGTTAGGGGCAGGGAGTGTTCACCTGTGTTTGTCCCTTCATTTTTCATCTACATCCAGAAATATGGATCCTGATGATAGCAATACACCTTTATTGTACGACAGACCCCCCTCTCCGGCACAGGAAGTTGACGAAGATAACTGGAACTGGGATGCGACTGATTGGAATAAACCTGTGACTAATAATGTTGGTCATAGCAACACGAATGATAGCTGGAATAACCAGTGGGATGACGGCACTGCTGGTACTGCTGATTTATTAGGGCTAGATGATGACGATGAACAGTAAGTTTTATCATAATCCAGGAAGGTTGCATTTACGTTTTATACTATTTCATCAATAAATAATACCCCATTCTTTCTTTCTGATAAAATTATCAAATATGCTCAAAAAACCCGTTGACACTCGAGATTACTGCTGCAGATGGCTTGGATTGATACAACTCTTGTATGCTTATGTAAACCTAAGAGGAAATATCATGGAAGTTGTAGACATGCATGGCTTCATTTGTTCCACTATGGTTTCTCTTTCAGGGACAAAGTAAGTGCCAAAATGAATCATTCAGCACCTAAAGGTAAACTAACTCTTGAAGACACCTGGGATGATGCTGGTGGGTGGGACGAGGCTGCCTGGGAAGCTGTGGAAACAGAAATCAGTACAAAGAAAAACTCCAAGCGAGATTAAGTCATTAACAACCTAGCAAAGAGATATGTCATTTGGGAAAAACAGGAATTGTCACCTGGAAAGAGGCGATATACCATTTAATGAACCTATGAACCTGGGAAGAGGATGTATTATTTCATGAACTAGAAAATATGAACCGGGGAAGAAGACATACGTTTTGCGAAATTTGTAATTTCCATCCTAGGAAGAGGATATATTAATTAATGAATTAAAAATATTAACCTTGAAAGAGGATGTATTATTTGCACAATGGCTGCCAACCTAGAT